GGCCGGTGGATTCTTGCAAATGCCATTAGGAGCACTAGGAGGAGCCAGAGGAACCTGATTTTTTTCTCAGATTATTTATCGTGTATTACTGTGAGCAAATATGACAAAAAGTTACCTACTGCAGCTTTAAGGTACCCTTATTCATGAATTGGCCAAACCCTTCAACACAATGTAAAAACATTCTTACTAATTTTGATCTTTAAAGAACAGTTTGATATTTTGGCACATACCCTTATTTGCTCTCTTGCTGAGAGTTAGACAAAAGGGTCAATGTCACTCTCATAACTGTACGTTAAATATAAAGCTACAGCATGGAGACGGTTAACTTAGCTTAGCATTAAAGACTGTAAACGAGGGAAAGCAGCTAGCCTTGCTTAGTCCAACAGTAAAACCAATCCACCTACCAACACCTCTACAATAAAACATGCCATGTCTTTTAATGCGTGCAAAGACAGCGGTGTAAAAAGTATAAAGTTGCCGTTTATGGGGGGTTATGACTAATTCTTGGCCTGTATTCACACTGCTTTAGAGGTGGTGGTAGGACGATTTTTTCACCTTTGGACAGAGGATGATTACAAGAGTACATTTTATAAAACAGAAAATACACCATATGTTATTGATATACAGAAATATTACCAGTTTGGCAGTGCTCTGTGAATGAATGCATTTAGACAAAAGTAGTGTGACAGTGTGACAGTGCGGCAGTGCTTTAGACTTTAAAAATATTACTCGTCAATTTAAAGGCTCTTTCTGTTCTTGACAGAGTAACACAAGTTTACAGGCACAATTGTGTGGAGTAGATATAATAAAATCCATTCGCTACCTAGTGTACTATTTTTTTTTGAGTGTCTGAATTCTAGGTGTAAAATGTATGCGCAGTGTGGTTCATAAATTCACATAAGAGAACTAAAATCGAAGCAACATCTATTTTCTGCTAAAAACACCACAATGCAAAGCTTTTCTTTTCCTCCTGAGATGACAGATTGGTGAAATAAGTTAAGAATTCTGACATTAAAGTCAAAACTCTTTTGCCTAAATCTATCTGATCTACTCATGTGATCTGATTTTTTCACCTAACAAGTGCAAAATAGGTGAGAAGTTCAGGAAAGCTTCCCAGTTCTGTGCAACATTTGTTTAAAACACTACAAGAATAAATGTCTCGTAGAAACACTATCTGAACTACTGAATTCACTGCTGAGATCCTTGGCAAGATTACAATCTTATTGAGATCTTCAACTAACTTCATCTCATCAGTGCTTCCTAACCAACTCTTTAAAGTGTTTGAGTAAGAAAGGCAGAACCAAAGCAACAAAAACACACAAATTCAAAAATGTTCAAAACTCTGGAGTTTCAGAACGCTACAGAGAAGCATTCAGAGGCTCCTGCACCGTGCGCAGAGTGCACGGCATGTTTAAAGCAGTGACATATTAGTAAAGCTATGTGTGAAGAATACATTTCATTTCATTTACATGTAGAGTAAGTCAAATAAAAAAAAAAGAATTTACACTGTACAATACATCATACCAATCTAAAGTGAGACTAGGAGAGTGGAAGTGTAAAAATGTTGGTGCTGTTTAAAACTGTTCAGAGAGGAGATCACACAGTCTCTGAGACACAGAGTCCCTGCTGGTCCGGAGGGTGAGACGGTACATCTGAGTGGAAAACACACACAGTTACACAGGCTGGATAACTGTTCGGTACAGGGATGAGTGTGTGTTTGTGTGTGTGTGAGTGTGTGTATGTGTCTCTTTACCTGTGCTTGTGTGTTGGGCTCCAGTCTGAGGAGGCAGCCCACCTGAGTGTTCTTAGTGTGAATGACTCCAGCTCCAACAAAGTTCGTGGGATTGGGATCCACCCCGTCCAGCAGAGCTACACCAAAACCTAAGATCTACAAAATAATTTATTTACTGCAGAGGAATTAAAAATATATGTCCACAAAAAACAGATACATTACAGATACAACTGAAAGCTCTAGAACGAGTGACGTAAAGACTTGGAGTAACCTTGAGCAAGATACTGAACCCCAAATTGCTCCTGATGCCATGCATGATGCATGATTGTGAATGTGTATGAATGCATTAGTTTCTGTTTGATGGACTTTGCCATCACTGTGCTGACGTTACATGCAAGCACACATTCCTGGTAGATTACTTTGAATGCGATTGGTCAACGGAGTTGCAGTGCGACCCTGCAGGGCTAAAGTACACTGTGAAAAAGGAATCTCAAGAAAGTTAAAATTGCTGTTTCTGGGAAATTAGTCTTAATTTGAAAAGAATATTAATCTTGACATTAGAAAAGTGTTCTGGTTTTAATAGAATCTATCTCACTCTGTCTCAATAAGATGTTACAGCTAATATTGAGCTCCATTTAACCAGTAACAACCAGTAACAAGTCTTGTCCCAGTGTTGGAAATGAAGCAGCTGTTCAGTTTTTCATTGTTTTAATAAAAAATGTTAAAAATAAGAATACTTCTGGTGCCTTCATTTAAGACCAAGTCACCTATTTTCATTATGAAGACTTTGTGTCTTTTTGCCAATTATTAATCTTGGATTAAAGTAATCAGTGAGTTTTCATTGCTTGTAATAAGTAATAACTTGCTTACATTTTTGGCATTTCAGTTTTAAGAATTATATCAAGAGCAAAACTTTTTTTGGTCAATACCAGAAAATGTGATTATATTAAAGAATATTTGGCTGTTTCTACAGAGTAAGTCTGACAGCAGCCTTAGAGGAGTGACTATCCCCCACCAACAACTACTGGGATTGTCACTCACAGGAACCAATTAGATAAACCCTATGATCCTTCCTATTCCTTAAACAATCAATTGTTTTCCCACTGGGGTCAAAAACAACTGTAGTAACCCACGTCAGGCTTAAAGACCATCAAATCATTCATGCAGATTGTCTCTGTGATGTTCTCACAGACAGCTGGTTCATGTCTACAGCTGAGCAGTTTCCCTTGATGAACAGATTTTTTACCTTGGCTTTGGTGACATCTGTGTCCATGGGGTGTTTGGCTTTGAAGATTTTCTGAACCTCTTGCTGAGGACTGAGGACACAGAGAAGAGAATTACTTATCTGTGGGAGGAGGCAGGCTTTTGAGACCTGAACACAAGCTATATTCACAGAGCCTTCACTCTCTGATGAACAGCCTCATCCTACATTAGAAAGGTAGAACAAATAAAACTAAAAAAGAGCTAACAGAACAATGGCCAGGGTCAGGGAGAAAAAAAACACTGGTTTAAAAAATAAAAAGCCTATTTAGTATGTATGATTGTTAAAAATTTAAGTATGTCACTTAGTCAGGGGTCTTAACATATTTATATTACTTGTTTTATCCAACCAACAGTCCAAAGCCCAAAGATATTTTGTTTAATGTCAGAGAAAAAAGATTAATATTCACGTTTTGGAAGCTGCCAACACTGAGTTTTTGGCTTTTTTCACCCTTCTTTGTGTCCACTACATTAACACTGAACTTGTAATTAGGACAGTTATTGATAACCTACTGTATGGTAATAATACTAACTCAACTATACTACTCAACAATGTGTTTTTAGGTGACCTTTTAGACATAAAACAGACAAAATATATAATGACATTTAGATCAGTTTAAGGAATCTGCCTCTGAAAGCTGCAGTTGTTCCTGCCCTTTCTGACCGAGACAGATGCAGCCACAGACAGGAACCATTGAGAACGTAGCAGGAGACTTACGCTCCAAGCTGTTTCCAGCGTTGGAAGAAGTCTTGGGATGTCATCTCCGTGGGCTGGAAAAACTTGTTCAGCATCACTGGGAGTTTCACTGCAATGTTCTGTAGAGCTCCCCCGTATCTGTTCACAAACACACACAAACACACAGTAATTAGAATTTATAGGTAGCTGAATACATTAGAAAAAGTTGTATGCATCCAGACACCAACCTGAACTGGATGTTGAGTACCGGTGCATCTGTGAAATCTGACACACACTCGATGTTGAGGATCTGCTGGAACTGAGCCCCCCCTTCTATTATGGGGTCTACTGGCTTAGCGTGGACATTCAGCTGTGGAGACCGTGGTCAAGGATTCTAAAAATACCTTATTCACACTAGCATACATTTCAGCTCACCTGCAGCTTTACATTGTGTCGGGTTGTAGGACAGTTTGTGTGGAAATGAAGCACAAAATACTCATCAGCTGGGAAGAAATAGTAAAAGTTGTTGATTTAGTCACTTGTGTAAACTCCAGTGCTTCCTGTTAGGGCTGGAATGGGACAATCAAATCTGTAACAAGAAGGTACCAAGCAGTGGAAAGGATATGAGTCTTGAGTGTGTCGTTACAGCTCACAGATGAGGAGAAGCTGAGGAACTGGGTGGATGTCTTGTTGCCGTAGAACACGTACATGCGACCTGTGGGACAATATGTTCTCTTTGAACTAGTCACATCTGACCAGTATCCACTGCATTTACCCTATAATTACTAACCCCACTTTGCACCTGATTCTTTTCATTATTCTTCAACACTAGCCTGTCACAAGTATCCTTTAAAAAGACCCTTGAAACTGAAGAGGCCTGATGAGATTTCCCAAAATTAAAAAATATAGAACTCAAGCATACTGTGACAGTATTATAAAGCTGCTCACCCAGGTTCTGCCTGTACTCAGACTTCAGTCCAATCTGCAAAAGCTGGTTCTCATAGATAACACCATTGTTTTTACAAACAAACCTGGAATTTAGAAGCACACAATTACACATTTGCAACAAGAACTTACATTTTTGTTAATATAAATATAAAAGATTTTAAAAGTTTGAATTTGCCTTTACGTTTTGTGACAAACTGTTACATTAGAGAATATTCTATATTCGTTCAAGGAGTTTGAATAGAAAGAGAAGTCATAATACCTCTACCTCTACAGCTTCGATTATGAACATTATTTTTTTTTTGTCTGTCTCTTGTGTCACCAAACTTTCTAAAATTGTAATGCTAAATCGCCCTTTAATGTTTGGAATGTGGATCATTGAAGAACGGCTGTAAGCTCTCTTTCTCTGCTAATTTCATCAACCGAGTTCACAGTTTGGTCCCACCTGGGAAAATTTTCCTCAGACACATCTATGGATGCAGGTGAGGGGGTGTCGGAAAAGACATCAACTAGCAGACTGGCTCCAGCTGAAGGGGTGGAGTTTAGATTGAGCAGATCTGTGAACGGGTGGGTGGAACCCTGGGAGAGAAACATCAGCCAACAACACATTTAACATACAGTATATACATATAAAGCACACCAGAATCTATACAAGTGTATATTACTCATTAAATATGAGGCCACAGTACCAGGCTAAAAGCATAGTTAATCTTAAAACAATCTATTTCATTCCCTGCTTACTAAAGCATCAACATTACAGTCAATTTGAATTCTGTAATTATACAATAACAATACAGCTATTGTGTGTTTGGACATTTCCCATGCTGTTGGTTTTTATTCCTCTCAGAAAGTGGAAGCTAGTTAGCTTAGATTGCTAAAGATAGCATGGAATTCCATTGCATATTACTTTTGTTCATGTTTTCTCACACTGAAATGTTGTGTCCATCCCACATTATAGAGATGAGAGGGTCTAGCTGGTGTTAGCGGTCTCTCTTCAACAGGACAAGTTGTGGGGATAGCAAATGACTCTCAGAGGTAGTCCTGTGACTTCAACACTCTGTACCTCCGTGATTAGTTGGACATGGACATGAGACAATAGCAGCGGAACTTCTTTTCACCACAAAAATATCAGCTGAATTTAATAAATATTAATTACAGTGCTCAATATCTGCCCTGGTAAGTCTTGAACACAGAACGCTACAGCAAAACTCCAAACCACTTCAGTGCTAGTTTATGTTAAAAAAACAAAAAAAAAACAAATAGGAAAGCAAATGGACAGAGACAACCATATAATAGGATACAAGCCACCACTCCAGTGGTAATTCACTATGTGTTGTTTCTAGCTATTAATATACCATGGTCGCAGCCGAGAGTATGATGGGGCTAGAGGAGGCAGGGCGGGGTCTGTTGGTAGGGAGGAGGTCTGCCATCAGTGAAGGAGAAGACTGATTGAGAAAGAGAAGAAAAGGAACAGAAAGGAAAGGAAGGATAGGAGGTGAAAACAGGGAAGGGAGAAGAAAGGACAAAAGGAAGGTAAAGATCAAGGAAATGCTAAAAATGCAAGAAAGTAAAGGCAAAGGCTGAAAGGCAGTAAACCAGCAATCAACAATATACAGCAATACACAGATTATAATACTGTTTGTGTGATGCAAGCTTGTTTATAGTGATAAATGCTGTAGTAGAACACGTTGCAGAAAATTGGTACACGTGCTAAATTGTATGAGAACCTTTTCCTGGGGAAGGTTTGTATGAAGAAATCTTTGATAAAAAATAAAAACTGAAGTCGTACTGAGCAGATTTCACAGTTACCTATCAGAGCACTACCCTGTGGTTACCTTCGTGGCTTCAGTGTTGTCGCTGTGCTCGGTGCTGCCGTTGACATTCCGCCGGGCATCGTCAATGTCGGGTAGGTGGCCTGGGCCCTTCTTCCTCTTCAGCTTGGCCAGGATGGAAGACTCTCTCTCTGGGAATGGAGGCATCTCTTCTAAGACTGTGGCCTGTGGAGGGACAGAAAGAGCAACACATTACTGTAAAGCTTTAAGCCTGGGCAATTAGACAGCTACTGCACCACTGTGCAATTACCAATGGTGATTTTCAGTTATTCACAGAATAATCGCAAACCACATGACACCACAGAGTGTGACACAAAGAGTTTTTCTCTCAACTCGTTCAGTCTCTTTCTATAAACCCAAACCTGAATCTGACATAACAATTGCCACTGTGATCTGCGTCTGCAGAGCTTTGAAAGTGTGTGTGAGACTGAGTTCCTGCATAATTCACTAACCAGTATGTCAGTGCTGGCGATGCAGCTGAGCCTCAGGTACTCAACAGCTCTCTGCTGAAGCTCCACATCAGCGTTGCGGAGCTGGCTGTCTGAGCGCAGCACGTCTTGGATCGTGGCCTTCACTTCTGGAAACAAGTTAATGAACTTGATATAGGCCGACAGCAACAGTGCCCGAGTCGGCACAGAACACAGGTGGAACTTGGAGTGTAGAAGGTTGAACTGGACCAGAGGGCTGAGGGAGAAGACAACGCGGAACAGTAAAACCTTCTGACATTAAGGTCAGCTTTAGGTCAGTTTCAGGACAACATATTGGTGTCAGAACAGTGGATGCTGTTTGTACCTGGAGCGTGAGTCGCCAGCAATTAGGTTTCCAAACTCTCCCAGGATGTAACCCCCCACCTTAACCAGGTTCTCATGGCAGGCTGGAGCCTGTAGTGCCTACAAGTGTTCAAAAAGCAGGACAGCACTGGGTAAGGAATAACGAGGGAGAAACACACTGCCATCTACTGCTAGATTTTGGAATCATTATGGTTTCTAGGGATGTTTCCACCACATTTTTTGAGACCCCAATCTTAATTCGACACTACGGTATTTAAAGGCGTACTATGGAGGATTTTTCTGTTGCTGTTTGTAAACACCATCCATAGTTGGCCTTTCCTCCCCGGCTTAGCTGAGAGCAGCAGCGATGGTAGGACAGTATACAGTGAATTACCGTTACCATTACTGAGAACAGAGCAGTGATTCAGAGAAATAAACTGTATGTTTCTAAAGCACCTCCACACCTACGCATAATTCTGCAAAAGGTGCCCATTGCCAGATTTGTGCCAAAGTTGCACTGTCTGCTGTGCCTGTAAACTGTGTGCAGCTCAGCTCCGCCTTCCATCAAACAGTCAGAGACAGTGATTTGTCGAAATGTCGAAGTCTTAATTATCCTATCCCATTGAAGAAGGAAATATCTGTTTTTAAATGTGTACCAAAAAGAGAAAAAAACAAGGGGAATGTTTGCTAGAAAAAGAGGCCTAATACCACAGATGCGACAGATGCTGAGGGTGCACACTGACAGTCAAGCTGATCTGTAATGGCATAAATCTTCACGCCTACCTCAAAGACGGTCTTGGCAGCATAGCCTTGGACATCATCTCGGTTTATGACAATCTGGATGACACGATACCACACCTCCTCACTGACATAGTCGCCGGCGATGCGGATGAGGTTGAGGATGGTATCCACGTACCAGGTGTAGTCCACGGCGTATTTTTCTGCCAGGATAGCCACCTTGAGCACCTGAGGAAGGGAAGCAACCGGCTGAGGGCAAGAGCAGCACACAGAGGAACTAAATGGTTTACAGGCCTGCGATGATGACCCACTATCTCCTCTCTGATTGAGTAGTCGGCGGTCTCCAGGTAGCTCAGCATCTCTGCCACAATCTGCTTGGCGTTGCTGCGGTCACACATGGCGTAGAGGAGATCAACAGCCCGCTGGCGGACGCTCACGTCTCGCTCCGTCTGCAAAGAAAACAAACATGAACAGAACATATGAGATGATAACAAATGTGCAGATGCTATCAGCTACTTCAATTCCACTGTAGCCTGATATACAAACACTTGTTGTACCACTGAGGATTTTTAGGAGATGGTCATACAATGAACCTCAGTAGAACCAGGACTGTTCGGATGAGGAAGAGGGCACAACGCTAATGTGCAGTGCAACGAATAAGATGGAGGAACTGACAATAAGTGCATAGGTTCTGAGTACAGGAACGCCTGCATCGTCACTCTCATAAAGAACAGGACTACGACTCTTAAAAAGGTTATGCGCAGCCCTTGACATTAGATCGCTTTAACTAGCAGTTTTGGTTAGAAGTGACATTAACGTTAGCCATGGTACTTGTGTTTATATGTGTACGTACTGTATACATGTATACAAGTACTGCATTTTTTATTTATTGTTGTATTTATTATTCACTACTATTGAATGCTGTCTACAAGCAAGATTGGCCCACAGGGAGCTTTACTCTAACTCAATCATACCAAGATCCCTGAACAAAGACACATCACTGTCTGTGTTTTGGGATTCATTTGAAATATTCTACAATGACAATGAACAGAATCTTCTGACTGTCCAAAAGTATTTTTTATGCAATAACTGTGAGCTAACGCTGAGACACGGAGAAATAAATCTACAGGACCGAAGATCTATCTGCGTACAGAAGGTGTACCTATGTCCTGTAGAGGTTTGATCCATTTGCAGGGTTCCCACTCTTTTAAAAGGACCTTTCCAGGACATTTTCCACGAGTTTTTCTTGACAATACAGGACAGCACTTGCTTATAAAAAGTCATGACATGTACAATTTGGGTATGATTACAGCCTCCAGAATTAGTTTTAGCTATTGGACAGAGTCTAAGCAGGTTCTAAAAGAAATGATCCAAGCTGTACACATCATTTTCACATTAACCAGCAAAAGCTTACCAAAGGTACGCACCTGTTGAAGGACTCACCTTTAGAGCGTTGATCACAGTTTCTATATGTGTCTTTACTGTCTCATGAGAAAACTCAGAGCTGGCCAGTGTGCACATGCTCTCCAAAGCCAAATAACGGAGGTTGGTTTCCCTGTGCTGCAGAAACTGGCCTAGCTGGTTGCAGGCTCGGACCAACAGGGTGGGCTCACTGAGAGACAAGATACAACAACTAACAGTAGTGTCCAAATGCAAAAGACACATTTCAACAGCCAAAAACCTGCAAGTACTACACAACAAAGGAATGTGAACTAAATGTTCTGTTCTTGGTGTTTCTGGTGCAGTGGACTAAAAAAGTTGGACTAAATCAATGAGAAAATTCATCAGAAATTCCTGATTTTCCATTTCCAGAACACACATCTGGAATTCCATGATATTCCAGGAATTCAATGAGCAGCAGGAAGCTTTTCCCAGTGAATATGACCAACCTGTCATGGTGGATGATGAGGGAGATGGCTTCAAACAGAACAGCATTCTTTGCATTGGAGTGCTGGACCTTTTTGGACTTGGGTGGCTCCTGGGCTTTGTTGAGGATGGTCTCCAGACACTCTGTCAGACGACTTCGCAGCGCTGCATCCTCTGCAGCGACAAAGGCTGTGTTCTTAACACCTCCTAGCCTTTACTTTAACCACTGTCATCCAACATCAATAGTCTTAACATCCTAATATTAGAAACAGATTCTGCTGAAACGAGTTAAATTAATGGTAGCTGGAAAAGCAAATGTAATACAAATTTGTGCTGACACTAATAAGACAGTGGTGTATTCATCAATTAAAGTCCTGCTCTGTAGTCAATGCATGCGATTGATATTATTAATTATACCCTAAAATGTAAGCTCTAGAGCTATTAGTCTGGGACAAGAACTCTTTACAAACACTATATACTATAGGCTGCATACTGTTTTTTATATGTTAACAGGGCCAATTACCTCAGTAATATGAGAATGTATTTCTATCCATTATTGTGCTTTCAGGCTTAAAGCAAACATGTTGACTACTGACTGTGAAGGTGCCATTATTTCAAAAAAATATAAAAACAGCTTTCATATGTTACACATGGGGCGTCGCGACTCTAAAAGGTTGAAAACCACTGCACTAAACAGTTGTCAGGTGATGAGACTGTACTACACTGGATCATAATTTCTCCTGCACAAACACATGACTGTACCATACCATACCAGGAGGAGGGTAGCACTGCAGCAGGCGCAGCAATTTGACCGACAACCATGGTGCAGCAACAAAGTAGTATGTGTAGTCCTGTAGGTCGATGGACGCGGAAGTCACGATCTGGACAAGCAAGAACAAGATTAACACATCAATAGATGTTGAAATCAGAGTTTATCTTTGACCTCAGTGTGATGAAGAGATCATGTGAAGTTGCAGAAGGACACACACCCTACTGAGCCTGGCCACAGCCAGTGAGATGGATGTTTTGAAGTCATCCGGACTCTTCTGGGCCAGAGTGGTAATAAGGCTGGCAGCTGCTGTTACCACTCCCTAAAAATGGACAGACACACCTTAATACAAGAAATACAGACCAGCTGACACAATATTTCAACATCCTGGGCCTGTTTTATTAAACAAAACAAAAAAAGAAACATCAAAATGTTTTTCCTAACATTTATTTTGTTTTTTTGGAGCTGTTTTACCACCACCCACAATTGATTTGATTGACTGATTTTTTAGCTGTGAGTATTTCCTATAAGAATTGCACATAGAGAACAGTGTGTATCAACAGCACCTCTAAAACCAACCATATTATATATATATATATACCTGCGTACTACTTCTCGGCTTTGAGTATAGTGTATTGTGTCACTTTTCAACAAACTACATATTCAAAACCTGCTTAGAACCAGTATGTACTATGGAAGTGGGACTCACTAGGTGCTGGTCATTAAGCAGATGGACCACTCGTGCTGTCCATTCACCCATGGGCACCAGGTCAGCAGACGTCCTGTTGAGTCGCAGCAGACACAGTGCTGCACTCTGCTTCACGCTGTCCATGGTGTCCCTGATAGGGGCAAGCACAATACAGCTTCATACCCAGCTCTAAAACAGCAATCAGAGAGCCATCAGTAAACAGGGACAAATGTTGAAATACATGCATGGATTGTTTCCTGTAAATCCCTTGTGCATGTAAAGGCAATTTGAATGCCGCCCAGCAATGGCAGACTGCAGTGAAAACTCTACAAGAGGCAATTACAAAATGTAAATATAGCAAACAGCTATTGCAGAAGAAATGGAAACATAAATTGGGTCTGAAATCTTAAGGATCATAACTTTTAGTCAAGAGGTGATCTGAATGTCACCGTGTAATTGCTTTTGCTTAAAAAATAAGAAGTCATACAGGCAATTTTCTTATTTTTTTAGATGCTTGTCAATTGTAACCAAGAGAGACTAGTGTTTTTTGTATGACTAACAGTAACATCTTAGCCATTTGTTTGACATTTAGAGCCAGTTCAAACCTGTGCTTTAAGGTTTATGTACAAACCCTGCCACCAAGATGCTGGGGATTTCAGAAGCAAAAGCCTCAGCCATTTCTCTGCTGCCCACGTTAGCAATGCAGTGCAGGGCCAGGTTCATGAAGGTCGGGTTGCGGCTGGCCAGGTCATTCTTAATGCCGTTGTTGATTAGACGGATCAGGTCGCTGTTTGAGTTCACCAGCACTGATATGAATAGGTAACCCTGAAATAGGAGAAGTGTCTTTAGTGCAATTCCTGCATATAAAAGGAGAGACACTGTATGTGTCAAGTTATTTGTACACGCTCTAGTCCCCCCCCCTTCAAACAAACATATCTGCATGATAAATGATCAACAAGCTCTCAACTTTAGACAGTGGATGAACATGAGGACAAACTTACAATTTGTTTCTCTGTGTACTTGTTGGAGCTGAGGAGGTTGACGGCCTCCATGTGTCCAAAGTCGATATCATGGCCCAGAAGGAAGATAAAGAGCAGCTTGCAGACATACTTTTTCTTACTGTAGCCATCCAGAGCCTTGTCCCCTAGCCACGCACACACAAAGACACACACACATCCGCACCCACACACACAAAGATGGATTTCAATGTCTACATGAAGTTACAAAAACGCAGGGATGTCAATAGTGTGACACTGTCCTGTGAGTACGGAAGGGGTTAAAGAATGCATTCAGTCATTTTATACCAAACTGGTGAGTAATGAAGGAAAAGGCAGGCTGGAATGAAGTATTGATTAGGATAAAGGAGTTGACTCAGAGTTGGCACAATGTCAGTATTTTATTTTCTCATGTGCTCATCCGTAGCAACATTATTACTGATGTTTTCTGTCTTCAATCACACAGGATGGCAGTAGATGATTGTCTGTTTCTAAACAAGTGACGCCACCCATTGGTTTGTGCACTGACGTTTGTGTGTTCTGGTAGCGACTTGTAAATAACAAGAAAGCCCCGCCCTAAAGCATACCCTGCTTACGGTCTATTTTACTCTAAATGGGA